GTTTTGAACTGATGCCCTCGTGGTTACCAGCCCAATGCACAACTCATTAAAGCTCCAGGGCCCCTAGCCCCTCAAAGCAAATGTGATCTACTTCCATTTAAATACAGTGAAAACCCAGACCAGACCTATCTATGGTGTTAGAAGTCGGTGGTTACCCTGGGAGGAGTGGTGAGCACAGGCGAGGGGCATGAGGGAGACCTGTGGCAGTGTGCTTGCTGCTCCTCTGTCTGGGTGCTGGTTACACAGGCGTGTGCACGCTTGTGAAAATAAGTGCACATCAACTAAAAAGGAGGGGGGGAAAGAAAAAAGAAATGGGTAGCGGGGGCACAGGGCACTGACCCACCCAAAGGGAGGGTATTGATTATATCTCCACAGGGAAAGAGGGACCAGACTTCAACCCAGTGCTCCAAGATGTGAATGCAACATACCAGCATGAAGCAGGGAACCAGCAGAGAGGTCTGAGAGGCCAGCTCCAATCCCAGCTACGTGGGCACACACCCCTCGCCCCCACTGCATCCGAAGAATTTACTTCAGAGGACAGTCCTGAAGCTACAGCTCAGGGAGAGGGACATGTCTGATCAGAGCACACGGGAGCAAATGAAGAGGGAGGAAGAGAGAGTGGAGCACATCCTGGCCCACCAAGCCATGAGGACGATATTCCTGCTCAGAGCAGCCAATGCACAGAGAGGACTATATGGTTGGCCCCACTACGAGACACGACATCCCTCACTAGCCCTACAGGGGACAACATGGAGACACAGTGTGGGAATTGTGCCTGATCTGACCCCACAACACTGAGGCAAAACACTGAGGGTGTGCAACAGAATAGCAAGGGGATCAGAGCAATGAAGTCCTGAGGGAGTACCAAATATAGACTTTGGGGCCAGGGTGTGGCATCCCATCAGACTTGACCAGAAAGCACTCCTAAAGGTCAACAAACAGACCTTGAACTATTTACAGACTTTTTTGGGTCATTGGTTGTTTTGGGTTGTTGTTTTCTTTTGTTGCTTTGTTTCGCTCTGTCTTGTTTTTGTGCATATTATTATCTCTGCAGGTCTATCTAGATAAGATAGGCAGGATAAACAATCTGGGGCAAAAACAAGGGGACCGATGATTGGGGGGGGGGTATGGGAGAGGGGCAGGTGGGGGAAAAAGTGGTGTTAACAAATCCAGAGACAATAGAACAACAAGTGATCCAAAACCGGTGGTGAGGAGGGTGTAAAGGGCCTGGTAGGGCTTGATCAAGGGCAATGTAACCGAGAGGAATTACTGAAACCCAAATGTAGGTTGAAAATGATAGTGGGACAAGAGGAAAGTAAAAGGAAACAGAGGAAAGAATTAGGAGGCAAAGGGCATTTATAGAGGTCTAAATACAGGCATGTACATATGTAAATATATTTATATGATGATGGGGAACTAGATCTGTGTG